CTGTATATAAAACAAGTGGACACAGAAATCTAGTATATCTTTAATGTTTTTTTTATTTAATCATATTTATTTACTATCTTTAAGAAATATAAAAGTGCTATGTTCATCAAGCACCAAAAATGGCTCCATCTTAGATATTGATACAAATCTAAAGAAGCGTCAATTTGATAGGTAGTTGGTAGTTGGTTATTCTTAATCCCCCACTACCCAACAGCAGGGAGTTGGTTATTCGACTTTGCATGTTTCCCTTAAAAAAGATAAAATAAAAATAAACAGTAAGAATTTTTCCGGAATAAATATTATGGACAGATGTGTTTTTCAACATTGAAACACATTGTCTCATTATGTCCACCAGCGGAATCAGTTGGCTTTAGTACAATATGCTGACCAGTTATACTTATAGTAGGATCTGCTGTTAAGTTAATCTTATAGTGAAAATTGTTGACCACTTATGTTTGATATATAGAAAATTTGTGTCTTTACGTAAATTTATAATCACATGTATCTTTATTTACAATGTTCGTAATATAATAAATTATACATCTTACAAAACAATAAAACCACTGATGACGCTCTATGAATATAATTTGTTTGTCTTTTTTATACAAAATAATAAACAATGATTTTTTTTTTTTTTTGCATCTTTCAAATGTCAACATAAGATCATTTTCATCTGAAATATTTCCATTACATTGTACACAATTTATTACATTTTCCGTCTATGTATAACTCTTTCAGTATTTATGAATAAAATGTTCCTTATTATTAATTTTTAAATTACTACTATGACGTCATTCCTTTGTTCTGACCGTACTGTATTTTTAATACAGTACAGGTAGGTGTCCAATATTAATTTGTAAGTCCAATATTAATCGTGTAACACATTAATATTAGACAGCGTGCCGTCTCTTGAAAGAAGCTTGTATGACCACAGGATTTTGTGGAAAATTCTCCAAGTAAAAAAATGAAAACAAAAAGAAAGAAAAAACAAACAAAACAAAAAACGATTAAGTAAAATGTAGCCTCTTTTCTCAGAAGTTAACACGAGGAATGATGCAATGTCTTTCCTTCACCCATTGCGCAATTACATAATTTTAGGAAAAGAACAATACTAGTCTTGTTCTCTGGCTCATTTAACGAATTATTATTCCAAACCTACTGATTTTCGATTTTCAAGCTCTTAACATCATATCATTGTTTACGCTTTCCAAGTGAAAGATAGCGGAGTGTCAGTTACACGGGGGAGGAAGTGTTACACGAAGGATGGAGTTCTTATGATAACTTGTTTGGAGTTCTTATCATAACTGTCACGGAGTTCCTGGAAAACGTTACGGATTTCTGTGGAAAAATTTTCTATATACTTGGAAAACTCGCGTAAAAAATGGTTATTTTTAACTTTAAATGGGGAATTTGAGGTGCTAAATTTAACTTTGATAATTAAGCTTGCCCTGCATATTGTATTTCGTTTAGAAAAAATCTTTTAGTCCATATTTTGTCGCCTTTTTTAAAAAAATCTGGTAGTTTTGAGAAAGTTTTGAGTTAAGATATGATTTTTATGGGATTAATTTCTTGTCTATTGTCCGTTTTTTTCTGTTTTAAATACATGTATACGTTAAGTTGACAATCATACATGATTTGCTTTATTGCATGTACGATATGTTTCAGTTAGGTCAACTTTTTAAATACGGATAATGATCAGCTTTTAAATACAATAGAGAAAATAAATTCATCTGTTTAAAACAAAAGCGGTTATGTTTGACTGCTTATATAAAGAAACGATTCCAGACTCCTGTGGTATGACAAATATCAATTCAAAAATAAGAAAATATCATTTTGTTGCATTAATATCCAAAATTTTACATCCGTGATAGTTGTAGTAAAGTAAAAATATCATTTTAACACTGAATGGTCAGTAAAAATCCTTCTTTAAAGTCATAGATTGTTTCGGTCAATCATTTAAAATACCCGAGATTCAACACAAATTTGAAAACATTTCATTTTTATTATTCCTTGTAAAAATCCCAAATGTACATTCATGTATACTGTATGTGTGTAAGTCCAACATTTTGTGTAACTGGTATATTTTGTGTATATCATTGTGTTCATGTACATAATTGGCCATACTTCAAAACACGAAAATTTCATGCAACGGACATTTTGTTATTCAAGAGGCTACCTATAGGGTTTTGCAAGTAAGAAAAAGATAATTGCTAAAACATTAATATTGTACATTTCTAGCTCAAAAATACATTATTTCTAATTTCTCGATAGATAACACGATATTTGATAGTAAAAGTAGTAATTTAAGTAAGATATAAGCCTCAAACTGACCAATAAGTAAAATATTGAATTCCCTTCGGCGCTACGCGCCTTATGAAATTCAATATTTTACATATTGGACAGTTTTCGGCTTATATCTACTACATAATTTTATTTAAACATTATTAGTAAACAGAAAAGAAACAAACAAAAAAATGATAGAAAGGAAAAGAAAAAACAATAAAAAAAGATATATTGACAAAAGTAAAATTATCCCATATTCTACACCGTTAGCTTATTCGCGAGCAGTTTAGAACCGTCCACCACACGCCTACTAAACGGTGGCTCTTTCACATTTTGGTGATCTGTTTAAATGAGAGCCATCGACACTTCCGTTGCAGAGCCCTCGATGAAAACAAGACTGAAAAAGGTAATAAATTTTAGTAAAAATATCAATTTAAAAAGATCATGCTTGTTTTTCAAAAATCGAAGAATGTCATGCCACGTAGAACATTTTTCTCATCATGTTGGGTGAAGTTTCGATAAGAAATACCCTAAAATGACGTTGCTAGAACTTTTACCAAATATAACCTTGTGGGTTTTCTTTTACGAGGAGACACATTTTGAGTGATTTCCCTACCGTAAAGTAGATGATGGCCCACTTAATCGTGTATATAGCATTGTCCCAACCTCCTCTTTGGACCAACACAAAAAATAACTTACAGAACTTACTTGAAAACCAAATAATCAAATTTTTATTATTGTGATCGAGCCATCGACAAGGTGCTGGCGCCATCGGCAATGTGAATGAGCCCTCGAAAATGTGATGGAGCCAACACTATCATTCATTTTGTGATAACATGACGGAGTTTAACCGTTACTTAACCTAAATGATTAACATATACAATTTCGCATGCATCGTATCATTGGGTTGACATATTGAATTAAAATACTCGATCTGATTATTCGAATTCATGAAAATTGAAGTAAAACCTCTTCGTATAAAATATTAACATATTAGCACACAAAAATAGTTTTTTACTTTTAGTCAGTAAAATTTCAGTTTTTTAATTTTGAAATTTATGAAAATTTCAGGTGGAATCTCGACATGAATAAGGGGATACAAAAAAGATTTTCATGTGATGTGTGTAGAAAGACGTACGCCAATAAGGCCATGGTTAAATTTCATATAAAAAAACTATCATGAGCAGGCGGCCTCTCGACTACAGAACTGTTTGGTACAATAATTGCATGTGTGGTTCTTCTTTATACTTTTTTTTGCATCTTTGGAGGTGTCGTTTTAAGTTGCGTTCATAAGTAAAATGTTTCTCACACTTCCCACAATTCAGCTCATTGACATTGTGTTTTTTTCTGTGTGGTCCGTCCTGTCTTTTTGTGTAGAATGAACTATTGCATTCTTTAATCGTGCACACAAGTTCCCTTTCTCGTGTATTTACACGATCAACGTGCCTTTTAAGAGACGATGGTGTTGCGTATCGCCCATCACATATACCACAATGTACTGGTCGCCGCCTGCTCATGATAGTTTTTATATGAAATTTAACCATGGCCTTATTGGCGTACGTCTTTCTACAAACATCACATGAAAATCTTTTTTTGTATCCCATTAATCGTGTCGAGATTCCACCTGAAATTTACATAAATTTCAAAATTAAAAACTGAAATTTTACTGACTAAAAGTAAAAAACTATCTTTGTGTGCTAATCTGTTAATATTTTATACAAAGAGGTTTTACTTCAATTTTCATGAATTCGAATAATCAAATCGAGTATTTTAATTCAATATGTCAACCCAATGATACGATGCATGCGAAATTGTATATGATAATCAGTTAGGTATAATAACGGTTAAACTTCATCATATTATCACAAAATGAATGATAGTGTTGGCTCCATCACATTTTCGAGGGCTCATTCACATTGCCGATGGCGCCAGCACCTTGTCGATGGCTCGATCACAATAATAAATATTTGATTATTTGGTTTTCAAGTAAGTTCTGTAAGTTATTTTTTGTGTTGGTCCAAAGAGGAGGTTGGGACAATGCTATATACACGAATACATGGGCCAGCATCTACTTTACGGTAGGGAAATCACTCAAAATGTGTATCCTCGTAAAAGAAAACCCAGAAGGTTATATTTTGTAAAAGTTCTAGCAACGTCATTTTAGGGTATTTCTTATCGAAACTTCACCCAACATGATGAGAAAAATGTTCTTCGTGGCATGACATTCTTCGATTTTTGAAAAACAAGCATGATCTTTTTAAATTGATATTTTACTAAAATTTATTACCTTTTTCAGCCTTGTTTTCATCGAGGGCTCTGCAACGGAAGTGTCGGTGGCTCTCATTTAAACAGATCACCAAAATGTGAAAGAGCCACCGTTTAGTAGGCGTGCACCAGAAGGTGATAGTCGACAATGCGATAACGCGATGACGACAGTGCGACAAAGCGATGGCGACAGTGCGATAATGCGATGACGACAGAACAACAGTGCGATGACGACAATACGATAGTGCGATGACGACAATGCGACAGTGCGATGGCGACAGTGCGATAACACTATCGCTCTGTCGTCAACGTACTGTCGTGTTATCGCATTGTCGCCATCGCACTGTCGCATTGTCGCCATCGCACTGTCGCATTATCGTCATCGCACTGTCGTATTGTCGTCATCGCACTGTCGCACTATCGCATTGTCGCCCTCTGTATTTTAACGTATAACCACGATGGCCCTAACGGTATTCCGTAAAATAGTGAACAGTTCTTAACCAGGACAAATTCATGATTCTCCATGTGCTTGATAGAGAACATGAAGCAAAGTTTTCCTATGGTAAGTTGAGATTCTCTTTTCTAGAGCATGCCTCGATCAAGACATAAATTTTCAAATTATTATCCCCATTTGAACTGGAGATTTCATGCATATGCAAATACAGCAAATACAGCAAAGATTATGTTAACAACCGTGTTAAAGATAGATAAATAAGTATATCATGCCTTCATATAATATGCGTTCTTGTATGATATTAGACAATTGTCAATATCATTAGGTTAATTTATAGTGTTGAGTACAATATTAAACATTCTATTGGATGAGTACACAGCTATAAAATCTATATTGGACGAGACGCAACTCGAGTCTGATATAGGTTTTGCAGCTGTGTATATATGATAAATAATCAGCACTGTACTCAACAATGTATAATGACCTCTATATTTCACACCACCATTTTCGGACAATTTGACAGAAAGTCGTTACCTGAAATACAAAAAAGGAATTTATAAGATGTTTTTAAATCCTAAAAAGGAAAACGGAACTAGAAAGGGTACAATATGCATTTAATACAGATCTTTTGGACTCTGAAAATGAAAACAAGAATGAGAAATAATATGAGGTTATAATACATTGTTGAGTACAATACTGAAAAGTCGTATACACAGCGGCAAAACTTATATTAGACTCAGTTAACGCCTCGTCCAATATAGTTTTAACATTTATGTGCTTGTCAAATGGAATAATTATTGTTTTCAGCAATGTATAATGTTCATCTCATACTTACATTGTTTTACACTTTCACAGAACTTTGTAACTTTGATAACAATTAGGATTTGATATCGAATTTTAGACGCTCAAAAATGAAAACGAGGCTAGACGATGAATAATATGTATTTGAAAAAGATGTTTATGATCCTAAAAATGAAAAAGAGGCTGAATTCAGTGAGATGTGGATTTGATATAGCTTTTTTGGACTCTGGAAATAAAAAACGAGGCTAATGGGGTGCGATATGGATTTGATATGGACTTTTGGACTAAAAAGGAGGCTGAATTGAAGTGATTGGAGCCAGTAATGAGTTCTATTGGAACATTAGGTGGTGCAAGCGCTGAAAGTGCATTGGTCATATTTTATCAGGTGTGAAATAATAAATAAATTTTCTTTAATTTGTATTTGAATGAAGGAGGAAAGCGAGGGTTTCCTTCCAAGTTTCACTGTCTCTGTTTCGTTTGTAAGAGAATATTATCTTACAGCCACTTACCACCCGGACACTCGTATATGCCACAATACTGCCACCTAATTTTTGGGTCTGTTGTGTAACACCATGGTAACCTTTTCCGTCCGGATCTCGACAATAGTTGGCAGCATCTGCCACAGATCTCTCTGGATGTGAGGAGTTTGTGAATCCCAGCGCTGACACGTGCCCGTCGTACGCCATGTACGTCATAGTTGTAGTGCCTCTATATTGATTTGAAGAGGTACTGAAGCATTCTGAAATATTACCTGGATTTGGTTACTTTTTAAATATTGTTACCTTTACAATTTGGTAACTGTATGTATTTATAATTTTATATTTGGTTACTGTTTAAATTTGGTTACAATTTTAAAATTGGTTACTGTTGAAATTTGGTAACTGCATGTATTTAAATTTGGTTACTGTTGAAATTTGGTTACAATTTTAAAATTGGTTACTGTTGAAATGGTAACTACTTAAGTTTGGTTACTGTTGAAATTTAAATTATTGTTAAAATTGGGTAACTTGAAATTTGGTAACATTTGAAATTTGGTACATGTATATTCAACATCTTTATGACAATGGCTAGCCTGGCCTTTATCGAGTAATAGTTTGTGTCCATATTTCGTATTGTGGCCGTGACCTTTCACCTAATAACAATGTGATGACAACCAATTAATTCAATCAAAAACATACATTGTGACTTTGACAAGAAGGCGGTGTTCGTTTAATTAATTGTTTAAAGTGGCGAATGAAATATTCTCTTTTTTAAGTTTTCTAATAAAGCTAAAAGAAATAATATAAATGAGACAGACATAAACAATAACGTCCATCTTTAATTTGATTTTGGAAGCCTTATTTTAGAATGTGGGCATTTTACATGGTAAAAGATGTAATCCGGAACTCGGCAAATGTGGGGTACAAGCAAACTTAACGTGTACTACCGGCATATTTTCGAAGCTGTTACTGGTAATGGTTGGGAAAACCCCAAAATATATTTTATTTCTGAGTAAGTCTATTTTTGCTAGTCTGTATGTGATTTCCTTTAAATCCCCCCCCCCCCAATATTCTTTCCGGCCGTAGCCGGTATTGCCACAATACTATGACTATATAGTTTGTTATAATCATATCAAAAGGCTTTTCAAAATTAAACCTCCTAAGGAGATGTGTGAAGTTGGCGGCCTAGCGGTCCAGCGGCCTGGCGGCGTGAAGTTGGCGGGATAGCGGCCCAGCGGCCTGGTGGCGTGAAGTTGGCGGTCTGGCGGCGTGAAATTGGCTGTTGTAATGTTATAAAAACAATAAAAGCGGCAATTAATGATGCTCTAAGGACAATCCTTGTTATTTTCAGTTATGTAAAAGATATATAAAAAGAATACATTACAACTACATTGGCTAAACTAAACAGCTTCTCACTTCCCTTTGAAGCGTGCTCGTCGCTGGCAAATGGCATCGGCAGAATATTTTAAGACCTGGAATGGCGAAAAAAATATCAGAACTTAAACTTGAAGAGTCGTTTTTCATTTTTTTTTCAAACTTTTACAACATTAAAATTTCAGACCGCTAGGCCGCTGGGCCGCCAACTTCACAAAAATGATCAAATAAAAAAAGTTTTCTCAAAGTGACTTTTTTCTTTTTATATATCCTTTAAATAACAAGAATTGTCTTTAGAACTTCATTAAATGTCGTTTTATTGTTGAAATAACATTTCTACAACATTCAAAGTTTTGGCTCATAGGCCGCTTGGCCGCCAGGCCGCCAACTTCACAAAAATGAAAGAGTAAAAAAATATCTCAAAGTGATTTTTTTCTTTTTATATACCTTTAAATATCAAGAATAGTCTTAAGAACTTCATTATGTCCCGTTTTTATCATATTTATAACATTTCTACAACTGTAAAATTTCCAACTGCCAGGTCGCTAGAGAAAAAAAAACTTTCTATATGTGATATTTTTTCTTTTATATAACTGTTAAATGATAAGATATGTCTTTAAATGTTAATTAAGAGTCGTTTTTCAATTCTTCTCCAAAACTTAGACAACATTAAATTTTTAGGCCGCCATTTTGGAGAAACAAGATATATTATAATTTCAAGTAGATGATAGGTGCACTAAATGACCTTTCAGTTACATATGTGGCCGATTGTGACGTCGAAACACTAATGTTGTTTTACAACGCGTGTCCTTGACTTTGACAAATACGATGTCAAAACAGCCCATGTGCCTGCCATAACGTGCCTATTCATCAGCGTTTAAAAGGTCAAATTGTAACATGTGCGAGTCCATTCTTGGCCATTGCGGTTATTTGTGTGTGTTTTTGTTGTTGTTTTTGTGTGCACCAAAATCCCTATAAAAAGAGGGCATTAGACATTCTCTGACATTACACACATAGACACAGTCTAAAGTGAAGCAGACGTCTCAGAGATGAACAATTTAACTTATCTTGTGTTTTTAGGGATGGTTGCTGTCGCCGTCTGTCAAATGGCCGGTGCGCCGTCGGACGCCGCAATCGACGACCCGGTTGTGGTGAAAATGGCAACGTTCGCCGCCAGTGAGATAGGAAGCGAGTACGAGCTTGTAAATGTTCTGTCTGCAACTAAACAGGTACGTGGTGTTGTTTGTTGTTTTGTTTGTTTGTTGTTGTTGTTTTTTACATATATATATAGTCATATTTCTATATTTGTTATCATTGTATCTAATATCACCTGATAAAATTATGATAATATATTTATACTTTTATCTTTGCACAAACATTATTTAAAGACAACATGTTACGCAGTCATTCTTTGAACATGCAATAAGATGTTCTGTGGCAATAAAATTTGTGTCACAAAAATAATACAAATTTAAGAAAATCACGTTATATTGATATTTATATTCATATCTACGAGAATCAGATCTTGAGAAATGACCGTTTTGCTACATTGTATTTTTAAATTTACATTTACCATGATTTACATCATATATTAAACATATTATGGTAATTAGTTTATTAAATAATTTCACATCTCGCAAAATTTTGCAATAATTTCAACAGTTGTTATAACTATCACTATAGGGGTATCATAGTTTGTTTATTTTGTATTGTTCTGCATAAATACGTTATTTATGTTTTCAGACTACCACAATGTTTTCTGCATGATCACCGTTAAAATTAATATCACCAATGAAAAATAAACTTTACACCCCATTTAAAGATAACATAAACGCCGCTAATGTCCAAAGCAAAATAGTTAAAATAATAACAATAATAATAATAATAATAATGAATTATCCAGTTTTGATTGATTTTATTTTAAATTATTGTCGTTTTAGGTTGTAAACGGAATGATTTACCGCATGGAGCTTATGGCTAAAAGAAAAATACAGAATACAGTAAGTTATTTTGTTTATTATAACATTAATTGTATATTTGAAGAGTCTTCTTCCAGACATTTAACTGTTTTGGCATATTTGTTTAGGAATTGGTCAAGCTGTTTCATTTAAAGTAAACTTTGCTTGTAATTTTTATTTTTAATGTTTGAAATACATTTAAATATGATTTAATACTATATTTTGTTTATTTTCAGAAAAACGTAAAGAGGAAATGTACCGTCATTGTTTACGAAATCAAACATCAAAACTACCTCGAACTGGAAGAATTTCACTGCCACTTTCACAACAAACAACCCAGACTTTAAACAACTGCATCATCGTCAATTCACAGAAAAGCTTTCATCTGGAATACAAGCACCTACAGCCTGTGACATCATGTCATTCATGGTTTCATTGTAGCTTATGATTCTGACATTCATGTACTTCCAAACTGATTATTAAAACGAAATAAGCAATATGCAGCTTTTTGTTTTATGCACATATTATTTGTAACCATCCAATCCAACTCCTCCCAGTCTCTACGCTACAATGAGTAACAGTGATCCAAAGACCCAGAAATCATCATTAAAAGTAAACGGAAGCCCTTTTCTTCATAGACCGTTATTATTTTCTTAAAGGCCCATAATGTCTGAGGAATGTTATTATTTCTCAAAAACTTTTATTTTGGTATCTTTTTACAGTTTCCAAAATATAAGTCATAAGCCACATAAATGAAGTATCTTTTTGTTTCTTTTGCTCTTTTGGTACTTGGAATAATAATATTGAATGGAAGTCAAAATGCTGCTTTGTTTACATTTTGCTACCTTCATGACACATTACTGCTAGTTCAGCGCTACGTCTTCAGTTTTTGAATGTCTTACATGCTCCAAACACCTTTTTTAAACATTATTAAACGCATGTTTGATATTTCTAAAGAATTGAAAAAATATGTACTTCTGAGGAATAATGTGGCTTTAAGACACTCACAAGAAACTACGACAATTTTGTATGCGCTTGCCTTTGTATAAAAGTTCGCAGAAGCTCGTGCGAATAAAGTTTCCTCTGTTTTGTCAGGGTTCTTCCGCTTTCCCCGTGCACATTGAGTATGGATTCAGTGTATGTTTCTAGAAGTACTCTTGGTGAGCATTGACTGTGAGTATGAAAAACTGACCGTTGAAGCATAGAGTAGCTGTCTCTCCTTTACGTCAATGCTGAGAACCAAGAATGCTATCAGTGTCCATACGTCTTTGGCATGACATGGCTGGAAATCGAATAAATCGATCCCTCTTCCCCTACCCATCCTCAAAAAAAATCTACCAGGTCTATTTCGCAATTATTTTTGTTTTTGATGTTATTGTGGTTGATGTTGTTGCTGTGTATGTTTTTTTTTAAAGATATATTAAACATAAATTACGATGATTTTTTTCACGTCTAAATGCTAGTTAGAAAGACAGAAACTTCAGCTTAACATCAGTGTGGGTTACTTTTCTTCCGTCCGTGGCCAAGTGGTTAAAATAAGGTCGTTGACTTCAAACCATCCCCCACCGCTGTGGTACGAAAGGGACATACTTTCATGTGAGAAAGCTATCCAGCTATCTTAATAAGGCTATCAGATGTTCTTGCTTATTGACTAAGATTTCTATATTTTGATTAAATTGTACTGTTGCATTTATGGACAATCAAATTGATAAATGATAGCTTAAATGCTTCTACATGTTATATTTACAAATATAATAAATTGGAAATAAACAGTTCACTGTAATTGCAAGTACAAAATACTTTAAAATTGTACTTTTTTCAGTGATAAATTTAACAAACAAGTTAAACTACATTTGAATTGATAAAAGCGGATGAAGAAATAAAATCTGATGACCCAAACATTTGCTTCCATTTTAGTTTAACCATATTTTATTGCTAATATATACATGTAAATATAGAGAGAAACAAATTGATTTCGATATAACAAATAGCAAAAGGGTTGGACACAAGTTCTTACAACATCGGCCCTTCCCTGAAAAAAATACATTAATCAACATTGATGGCATTAATAATTGAGAAATTGTAACATGTATACATATAAAGCGAACGTAGAAAAATCAAGACAGATTAATCATTAATATAAAATAGATAAAAACCAATGTAAGAAGTAAGTAAGACAGAATAAAAAATGTATATTTGTGTATTTATATAATAACGACAAGGTTAAGGACCTAGCATTTAGCATAATTCGTCAAAGGGAACAAACATTCATCATAAGTGTGTTTGTTAATTATTATGGTAACAGGTTATTAAGATTGATACACAAATATCATGCAGGTGTTTCGAAAACGATCAGTAGTTTTGATAAATTGTTGGACAGCCGCAAATATTTTATCATCTAACGAATTGCTACCCCAACGTTAAGTGGATGAAAAATTCTGGTTTATTACTTCCATAGGCCTTTCCGTTTCTCGATGGATAGGTAATGGCCACTCCAAGGGTAATGGAACTCCACTGAAAATAAAATTTGAATTTCTGACAAAGATCAGCTGGGTCACTTAAGATAACAAGATATGCAATTGATAGTTAAAAAATATATATTCAGAAAGAATTAAATCGTGCTATTCTTAGTCCGATTTGTGTGTCATTTTTCACAATGAAAAAAAAATGTTTCAAAAAAAAAAATGTGTGAGAAAATGATCTGAATTTTGCACATAAGATGACTAGACCTATACCAAATTGAATATTAATATCGAAAAATTATCTCCAGTCCAGTAGTGTCTAAAAACCTCAGTTCCTTTAATTCGACTCGTCATGTGGATGAAGAAATAAAAAAATGACGCCCCAAACATTTGCTTTCCACATGGTTATGTATTGGCTTTGAAATAAAACCCCAATGTCACGGGGGAGGAAGTGTTACAAGATGGATGGAGTTCTTATGATAACTTGTCAAGGAGTTCTTGTGATAACTGTCACGGAGTTCGTCGGAAAACTATTGTATATACTGCAAAAACACTCGTCAAAATGGTAATTTTCATCTTTAAAAAGTGAGCTTTAGGTGCTAAATTAAACTTTAATGATTAAGCTTGCCTTACATACTGTATTTCTAGTATGTGTCAAAAACTAATTCAAAGTCCATTTTTCATCGCCTCTTGCTTAAAATCTGGTAGTTTTGAGTAAAAATTTCAAATTATTTGCCAATTCGCAAGTATTGACCTGTTTATCTCAAGTCTTCATCATTGTCATACATAATTACCTTATTATAATACAAAATTGCAAACATAAAGCCCCGGCTAACAAATTTATACCCGGTCTTTCAAATGTCCCGGAGTTCTTGTGATACCTGGAGTTCTTATGGTAACTTTTGTTACTGCCAATGCGTTTCTTGCGCTAAATCACGGCACGTTTTAGCGTTTTTTATTATTCAATAAGATTGTAAATACTTATGAATTATAATACGCTCATCCTTTGAACAAAACTGTGGATAAAATGTTGGTCTTGAGTGTCTGCAAAGGATAAATATGGGATAGGCTATCATCTACAGTAACAATTGAATCAGCGGCAGTATCATGGCCTAAACCACAAAATCTCAACCATCTTTCTTAAGCAGATAATATATAGTTGTGCATCGCTTATTTAAGGGCTAAATAATTTGTTTCATTTAATACCAACAAGAACATGTATAAATTTGCAGGATAATTTCTTCAAACCTATGTTTTCAAAAAGTACGATAATATGATAAAACTCAACTGCGGTTGGCTCTATAACTACCGATCTCTTGAACAAATTTGCAAGTCCCTCCGGGTTCGAGCGAAATAAGATTGACTTAAATATATTTTTGTTATCAATTACAGCAAAAATAGCAGTTTCCTCCACTAAGATTACACACGGGAAATACCAATCAAACATCGGCAGAAAAAATATATACGAAGATCCCATACTTGAGCGCATTTTATCATGAAAGTCAATGTTCTACACCAATCCTTTTTCCAGTCTACGAAATCTACGTCAGCAAAAATACCATAAAAAAGAAAAATGAGCGTACTACATTTCATAATGATTTACAACCTTATTGAATAATAAAAAAATGCTAAAACGTGCCGTGATTTAGCACAAGAAACACATTGACAGTAACAAAAAATATCATAAGAACTCCAGGACATATTTTGAGTTATCACAAGAACTCCGGCACATTTGAAAAATCGGGTATACTCAAAACTACCAGATTTTAAGCAAGAGGCGATGAATAATGGACTATGAATTAGCTTTTGGCACAAAATGCAATATATAAGGCAGGCTTAATCATTAAAGTTTAATTTAGCACCTAAAACTTACTTTTTAAAGATGAAAATAAGCATTTTGACAAGTGTTTTAGCAGTACAATGTATATACAATAGTTTTCCGACGAACTCCGTGACAGTTATCACAAGAACTCCTTGACAAGTTATCATAAGAACTCCATCCCTCGTGTAACACTTCCTCCCCGTGAATGTTACTCTGTGCAATGTCATTTTACCAGCTTTCAAATTTGCGCACTTTTTACACGGGGTACACGAAAGATGGAGTTCTTATGATAACTTGTCAAGAGTTCTTATGATAAATGGCACGGAGTTCCTGGAGAACATTTTTGTATACTGGATAAACATACGTAAAAATGGAAATTTTTAACTTTAAACGGCGGTTTTGGCTGAATTAAACTTTGATCAGTAAGGCTTGCTTTACATGTTGTATTATAAACTCCGCTGAGGTACAAAAGAACCTAAAACATAAAGAGATCGGCCAGGGCAAGTACAGCAGAAATTTTTTGCAAATTTAAAAGATAATGAAAAAATAAACAGAAAAAATAAATTGAAAATCGTATTCTCGTGAAACTGTCAGTCCGATTTGAGTGAAAAGCGTTGCAACACTTTTCAATTTTGGGTCATATTTTCACAATTAGAATAATTATTCTGGAAAAACGGAGTGAGCAAATGATCTGATATTTTGAACACAAGTTTTTTGATCTAGATCTACATCAAATGGAATATTAATCTCAAAAATTATTTCTAGTCCCGTTATGTCAAAAAGACCTCAGTGGAGTCCCTTTAAGTTTGATTTTCTACTCATCTGGATTCATGCAGCTTTAAAAGATCATATTGCAAGTTTCCTGCAGCATTAATTCAAAAACAATAGTTTCTATTCTAAGCCTATTAACAGATCCTTTATTTATATTTTCTTAACGAATGTACATACAGTACCAAAGCAAGCCATAAAATAAAAGGGGAGCAACTCAATATTAAAATATAACAATGTTTGTCATTCTTTGAACATGCCACAGAATGTTCTGTGGCAATAAAATTTGTGTCAGAAAAATAATACAAACTTAAGAAAATCACGTAATATTAATATTTATATTCATATCTACGAGAATCAGATCTTGAGAAATGACCGTTTTGCTACATTGTATTTTTAAATTTACATTTACCATGATTTACATAATTATATTAAACATATTATG